GATTCAAGATTCATATTTAGCTATTAAAAAACTCCTTTTTATGTTTTTTTTTTTTAAAAAAAAATTATTCATTTAAAAAATTGAAATTAACTATTATTATAAAAAAATATAAAAAAAAAATTTATGATTAAATAACTAATCATTAAAACATTTTAAAATTATTTAAAAAACTCAAATTTAAATTAAAATATTTGTTAACTTGAACTTATAATTAAATTTGAACTCGCTTGAATTCCTACAAACTTAAACACAAGTTTAATTATTTTCATTTCGACAAATACTCAAGTGTAAATTTTTAAAGCAAAATCCAAACACAAATAATTCAATTGAAGTTGACTCATTAATAGCCCTAGGTCAGCCTCCAGTAGGTAAGGTAAATTCGAGTTAAAAAAGCAGGAATTGTGCAATACATATAGAAAGTATATTATAAATTGGAGAGTGTGTGTCTAACCGTCTAATTAGTAACCTCATCCAAGCAAGATTTTTCTTTCATCTTCGGCCACGCAAATCCAGAATCAGTTGGACAAAAACAGGTCAGAATTAAAAGAAGAGTCAATTTTCGTTCCCTTTTCCTTCACTAACCAGAGATTAAATTCGAGGGAATGCATCGAGACATTATGAGTGATTTTTTGAACCGCATCTTCTCTCTCATTTCTCAGATTTATCCCTATACGCAACATTTAAAATGTCAACTCTCATCTGTTAGGACAACGATTTTTTCATAGAGATTGCATTTCTTTGTAAGAAGCAAAGTCATTGTACAAATGAATTTTGTAATATAAAATGAATAATAGACAATTAAAGATTGTTTAAATTTAATGGCAAATGATAGATTCATAGGAGTATAATGGTATATACCTTCATTTCTGGAGCGCGCGTTGAGATGAATATGTAAAGTAGATCCCAGCAGCATCAAAGGCCGTACCGATTTTCCATCAAGCAGGGACAAGTGTTTAATGGCATATGATATGATAGATCCATGGGAGTATAATGGTATATACTTTTCATTTCTGAAGCGTTGAGATGAATTTGTAGTGTAGATCCAAGCAGCATCAAAGGCCGTACTGATTTTCCATCAAGTGGTATATTTAAGTATTTCGAATCGTCTTTTCTATTCCTTAGTATAACTCAAAACCACCTCGTACTCTAGAAATCGGAGCTTACTTATGGATTGGTGGGAACATAATTGATTTGATGATCTATTATGTTTATCTCCAAAAAATTTTAATTAATATAAAAATTAGATATCTATTTATAATGAATTAATATGTATTTGAAAAAAAAAATTATATTCATTAATTAAAAATTAATTCTAGTTATAAATTAATATTATGATATTTAATAATTAAAAAGAATGTACTCCTATATTAATTTGAGCCCATTGGGTTCCAATTTAAAAAACATCATATTTTAATAAATATTTTGAAAAAATCAATCATTGTATCAAACATATTACATATCATGCATATTAGTCTTAAAATTAATTTAATCTTTATAGTTATTCAATCAAGAAATTATATTTTTTAACACGTATTTAATAATATTAAATTTTTTATAATTAATTAATTAATTAATTATATTGAATTAATTTAAAAATTAACATCAATGAGCTACATAAATTCATACTTAAATAATTTTTTTAGATGGTGTTTTTGAATTAATAATCTGACAAATCGAGATTGATGAGGTGTAGCATTCTTTTTTTAATTTTATTTATTATTTAAATTTATTAATGTTATACTTTTATAGCAACCATAATATTTAATCAACTTATTCTACACCAATAGATCTAAATCTAACCTACTTTCATTGCTTCCTAGTGTTATCATTTTACGTTTATTAGACAACATCTTCTTCTCTTCTCTTCCTTGTAAGGATGACAACGGTACGTTCTCCATGGAGGCGGAGATCCATTTCTACTTTTGTCAATGACAAGCATGAGATTCTCGTGGGAATTTTTGGCAAAAGGTCAAAAATGTCCTTTGCTTCTATACTTATAGGAAATGGTAGGTCTACCTGAATGTAAAAATTTAGTGTTGAATATTAATTATGAATAACTTAACCTTATTTTTTGATAAATAAAAATGTAGAAATTTGAAATAATTCAAACAAGTAAATATATTATATATATAGTCTAGCGGTATCCAACTCCAACAAATACATACTGCTATATAGATAACAATTGATTTATTGAATTTGGTTTGTTGAATTGGGCTCAAAGAAAATTGAAAAAGGAATTCGGCTGGATAATTTAGGTTAGGTTGAGTTGGGTTGATCAATTAAGTTGGATGAATAAAAATTAATTGGTAATATA